TTTGATTGTTTATTGATCCATCCAAGGCATTTGATTGTTTATTGATCAATCCAAGGCATTTGATTGTTTATTTGTCATTCATTCAACCTTTATTTAAACAGATAAGTCACATTGAGCCTCAAAGACTCATTTACAAGTGAGACCTGTTTGGACAGACAAAAACAGTGGTTAACTGGACACATGTAGGAGTTGGAGGTGAAAAAAATTCCTATCAGACTTTTTTCTTGGCTGATAAAAACCCTCTATAAGAATCCAAGAGTCCTGAAATGATGACACAAAGTTTATTCAGCTGGTTCATCTGGTTATCAGTTGGAAATTCCTCAGGGAGGGGGTGGTGAACGTCAGATCACATTTTCTCCAGGTGAATTCAGATAAGATGGCCTTGAAGGCCAGCCAAGGGAACCAAAATTTAGATAAACACACAGTTGTTTTGGGGACAAGCAGAACTTAATGACATCTACCTTGAGTCTGTGTTGGTCCACTCGGTTCCAAAATAACATGGCCACACCGATGGAACGTGACTGAGTAAAATCCCCAAGATCTGATCCATTCAGCCCAAAGCATTTGAGTCTGGGTACTCAAGACATGAACTAAGCCATCAAAAAGGCAAGCAGCGTGATCGGGTCCAAATTTGCTGCTGACGACTTCCTTGATTTTAGATAAAACCAGCACCAGCTGAATCCAAAAAAGCAGGAACCAGTTATCGAAAATCCAATTAAATCTGCGTCCTTAAAATCCACAGATGGCAGCAGAGCTAGACACATCATCAAGTCTTCCAGTCGATGAGATATCCAGCTGCGTGCGTGCCAACAGGGTAAACCGGCTCGCCTAAAGCCTGTCTTCTCTCGAAGAAATGTTGTAAATTGAGTTGAGGGACCAACTGGTCAAAACAACTTCATAATTATGGTTCGGAAGATGCAAGAGAGGCTCAGAAGTAGTTTCACAGACAGAGCAGCAAAGCGGAGAGGGAGGGAGGGAAGCATCCGATCTCATCAAGAGCAAGTGGTGAAGTGATTATTATTCAATTATTGATTTATCCAAGGCATTTGATTGTTTATTGATTCATCCAAGGCATTTGATACAGTGGATCACAGGATCCTGGTAAATATCCTTCTCAAATTGGGCATCTCCAAAGAAGGATCTTGTTGGTTTGCAGAATATAGGACACAGTGTGTACAGATGGCTGGAGTAAGCTCAAGTTTTCTTAAAGTAAAAAAGGGTGTACCCCAGGGCTCTGTCTTGGGGCCCATCTTATTTACAATTTACATTACTGTGCTGTGTGAATATTTGCAAAATGCCTCCCACCACATTTATGCTGATGATTGTGTAATTTACTGTTGTTCTAGTTCAATTGATCAGGCACTTCAATTTTTACAAGCTGCTTTTGATGAGGTGCAGATTCATCTTGAGCAATTAAAATTGGTTTTAAATGCTGATAAATCTAAAACAATGCTTTAATCACATTTGTTTGTCCCATTGGAGAATATCCCTTTAATAAAAACTGCCCAAGGTAAAGTTCTCGAGAGGGTCTCCAGTTATACTGTAAGTACCTGGGCTTAATTATCGACAAGGAGCTTTCTTTTAAATCTGATGTGAAACACCTAATCTCCAAATTAAGGTGAAGCTCGGGTTCTTCTTCAGAAACAAATCATGTTTCTCCCTTAGAGCTGAAGCTTCTGATCACAGCTACGTTCTTTACCAGTACTTGACTATGGAGATCTTGTCTATGTGTGTATTCAAACAGTTGTCTAGTCCTTGAATCCAGTGGACCATTGTGCATTAAGAGTTATTACTGGTTGTAGCTACCTTACTCATCACTGTGATCTCTGATTTAAAACCAGTATGTCTTCCCTGTATAACAGGCGACATGTACATTGGATGACTCTGGTGTACAAGTCTCTCTTGGGCATGCTTCCACATTATTTATGCACTTTTATTCAAAGAATGGACAGTAGTTATGCCTCATGCTCTAAGGACTGTTTGCATCTTCATGTTCCTCGTGTGTGACCAGAAAAGGGCACGAAAGCTTTTAGCTTTTCTGCCCCCTTAGCTTGGAATGCCTTGATAGCTGAAACTGTCAGAACTTGTTACTTTGAGCAATTTCTGCAAACTTTTCAAAAACAACAATGGATATCTTGTCAACAGTGCCTATGTTCTAGATCTTAAATTGTCATTGTTTTAAATTATTATTTATTACAACTATTGTCCTTTACTGTTATATTGTATGTTTTTATATACTTCTGAAGTTCTATTCTGTTTCTTGTTGTCTTGTTTTTATGACGTGCGCTGCTGCCTGTTCTTGGTCAGGTCGTCCATGTGAAAGACGTCTTGATCTCAATGGGCTTTTATCTGGTTAAATAAAGGTTTCATAAAAAATAATAAAAATAATAAAATTTAATTGTTGACCTGCATATGACAAAATAAACAACATAACACAGCAGCTGGTTTTGGGCAGTACCAGTGCGACTGATTGTTTTCTGATCTGAAGTAGTTCTGAGACTAGCTGTTGGCAGCAGCAGAACCAGGCCTGATCCAGAAGTCCTGAAACAGTCCAATGAAGGTCCACAGTCCAATAGAGTTTTTGCTGAGTTCCACATCTTCAGTTCCTTCTGAAGAAACTGTTTTTTATAGGACTATAAATGTTCTCAGAATCAGTCGTTGTGGTATCAGTGATCCAACAGAACTTTTTGTTCCCATTTCAGGTACACAAAGATCGGATATGCAGGAAACACGGAGCCACAGTTCATCATACCATCCTGTAAGAACCGCACATGCCAAGACCACCACACCTCACTGAGTCTCCATGAGCCCAGTTAGAGCCGACCGTTTCCTTCCTGTTGACCTTTGACCTGTTAGAGCCGACTGTTTCCTTCCTGTTGACCTTTGACTGGTTAGTGCTGACCGTTTCCTT